ATGGAATGGTACCTGGGCTGAGCAATGAGCCTCAGAACAATTTCACCCTCTTGACAAAAAAAAAGTAAAGAAAAACTTTGTTGTTTTTCTATGGCATGATAAAAAGTTTTTCTACCCCCAACCCCCAACTTCAACATATATACACAGATGTGAAAGCCACCACATAGAACATAGGACACTTTGAGTGTTCTGACACAGATCATATTCTGCTTATGAGGCTTTCTCATTCCCTTCAGGCTGATAGCAGACCCTGTGAGGACAGGGAGGGTGACATCCCTGCCTCTAGACTACACGTCATAACTGCCCAGGGCTTTGTACTCCATCTGTGCCCAAGAAACCATTGAATTGAATTGAATGACTTTCTAGTATTTGATATTTTGGAGATTTGGGATTTTCAGGAGAAGGGGTTGGAAATATTTGCAGACAACGGATACTTTACTTACGAAGATAAATGCCATGTTTTTAGGTAAGGTTCTTGGTCTTCAAAGTCAGGAGACGTGATTCATTTCTCACCGTTCTATTCCACAGCTACCAGAGACTTAGAACTCAGTCCTGGGTGAATAGTGGATCTGACCAGCAATAGATCATGTGTTGAAATTCAGTGTTTCAGCACATCCTCTCAGATGCTCTGTCCTCAAACACAAAGTTGACAAGAGCTACTGTGAACATTTTAACCACAACCAGCCATTTAGCCTTGGGTCAATCAGGTCTGTTTAGCTAACACACAACCTCTCTGGAATGTAGCAATCTTCTAAATGAACATAACCTCTGTGTGTTCACAAAGCTGGCAAGCCATGCCTGGCTGACTCTCAGGGTACTGGCCATGGTGGGATTGATAATTTCCCCTTTGTTTGCTCCCATTTTAATGGTTTCCATCTATCCTACTAAAGGTCTGGAAGTAAATAAGGCAATGGATAATTTGTGCTCACTCACTGGTTCTACATTCTCACTCACCAAATCCAGTGGTGTTTTGGGGTCCTTTGCCTAGTTTTTCATCTATCTAAATAAAATTGCATCTACTTAAATAAAATTGCATGCTGATAACAGAACTTCTTCCTTGGGATTCCACCTCCCTTAAATTTATGACACCACTTTCCAACTTTCCTATACAAGTTAGCTCTCTTCAGCTTCCATCCTGGGCTCCTCCTCTGTCTATCGCAAGCTCCAGGTAGTCTCAACTATCACTATGGCTCCCACTCCATGTCCTGAAAATCTCTGTTGGTCTCCAACTACAGTTTCTCCTCACTAACCTTAAACACAACTTAAGCAAGGGCAGCTCTGTCATGGGAGCCTCACACTCCCCTTTCCCTCCTTTTATAATTTCTCATTCAAAAACCTGATTCTCAGTGGGGCACCTTGGCGCATGCCTATAATCCCAGCAGCTCCAGAGGCTGAGGCAGGAGGATCGCGAGTTCAAAGCCAGCCTCAGCAAAAACAATGCACTAAGCAACCCAGTGAGACCCTTTCTCTAAATAAAATACAAAATAGGGCTGGGGTTGTGCGTCAGTGGTCGAGTGCCCCTGATTTCAATCTCCGGTACCCCCCTCCAGAAAAGAAAATCTAGATTCTCCTAATCTTATGCCAATATTTCTGATTCACTTGTTATCAACCCTAGGAATGGGGAAATTGAAAGTACTGATGCCTAGCCTGCAGCATTTGACCTTCTAATGGAAATGGTCAGGAGTGAAGCAAACTATTAGTACATTTTAACACTATTTGCCCATCATTACTAACATAAATTTGATATTTTTGTCTGAGAATTTGCATTTCATAGGCTTCTCAAGAGCTAAGACTTGGGTGATAGTATCCCTGTATCTCCCAAGTTGCAGGCCCTGGAGCTGGAGCTCGGTGGCTGTTGATGTTCTTAAGGTATCCACACAATTTGGTTGCTCAGGACAAACCAATTTTTATACCCATTGTTCTTGTGTTCCATTCAATTAGCTACGCTGTATCTCTCATTCTCAGAGTTATCTCATTTTATATAATAAATTACAGAATCCTCCCAATCATAAGAGTACCACTTGAATGTAAACACTTACTGTTGTGGATTGAACTGTGTCCTTACAAAATTCATGTTAAAGTCTAATACCCGTACCTCAGAATGCGACTTTATCTGGGAAACAGACCCTCTAAAGAAGTGATTAATTTAAAATGAGATGATTGAATTAGCAGTGAAAGCTTAATCCAATCTGACTAGTGTCCTCATAAAAAAAGGAAATTTGGATACACAGGTGCTATTAGGGATGCACATTCACAAAGGAAAGACCATGCAAGAAGGCAGACAAAGGCAAGCCAATGAGAGGTCTCAAAATGAGCCAAGCCAGGCGGCACCTTCACTTGGACTTCCAGCCTCTGGAACCATGAGATTATATATTTCTGTTGTTTAAAGCACTCTTTCTGTGGCAGTCTGTTATAGCAGCCCTAGTAAATTAATATATTTAATAAAGTGATGTTTCCTAAGTATTCCAGTCTCCAAGATGAATATTTATACCATTTTCCAAGAAATGCAGTTTTGGTCTTTTGGTTTCCCCAACTGTACAATAAAAGGCTTGCTTTAATGTCTTCACAGGACGTGTTTAGCTTTCATATTTTGAGTCTGTAGGATCATTCCCAGTCTGGCATAGTGGCACATGCCTGTAATTCCAGTGGCACTGGAGGCTAAGGCAGGAGGATCACTAGTTCAAAGTCAGCTTCAGCAACTTAGCAGGACCTAAGCAACTCAGCGAGACCCTGTCTCTAAATAAAACACAAAAAAAGAGCTGGGGATGTGGCTTAGTGGTGAAGTGACCCTGAATTCAATCTCCAGTACCAAATAAATAAATAAATAAAACAATTCCCATATGGAAGACTGAGGCCACCATCTCTCTGGTTGCAAATGTCCTATGTGGTTACAAGAGGTTAGGCACAGTTTCTGCTCCTAAGGACCCACAACCTGATCCAGAAACATCTCATTTCCAAGCAGCAAGTGACAAAGTGACTTTCTGAAGGATCAGGGCAGGGGCACTAAGCCAGTCTACCAAGTTTAGAATAGGCTCCTGTGTGAATGGCATTCAAATTGATTTCCCATAGGTAAAGAGGAACACTCCCGGTGAAAGGAGATGGTGAGGCGGGTATTCCTCACGGAAAACACCCCAGACAACCCCAAAGATAACAAAAACTGAGGAAAAAAAGAAACCAAACTCTCTTTGGTGCTTTTCTAACCACCTCTCGATTTTAAGTCTAGTCATTGCCCTGTGTCCACAGAAGTCATAGAGGGTGCAGCTGTTATCCCATGTATTTTTAACCCTTAAAATATTTGAGAACTTACAAATTACAAATTCTGCACTTTCAACTCCCCCCACCACCTCAAGATGAATAATTTCAGTCCCTTCAGGCTATTTTCCAAATTTTAAACCAAGTTCATATACTGACACCCACTACTTTACCAATATACACCCACCACACACACACACACACACACACACACACACACGGTGGGCCAAGAAGTCCTGCAGTTTACCAAAAGGCCCTTAAATTTAAAATAATATATCCGTGCTATACTGTCACAAAATATAGATTAAGGTCACATCCATCACACAGCTGTGTGAACCAGCAAATCACTAGGATGTTTTCTTTATTAGATAGAAAGCAAAAGACTCTCTGAAGGATGATGCTAGGTACTGAGAGTTATGTTCCCTTCTTTGTGTCTGACACAAGAATTCATAATCTTGCTGTTCATGGATGTTCAAAAACATCAACAACTGAAATAGATCAGCCCCACTGATATGGGTTGCATTTCCACCAGGAAGCACTACTGTTCATTTAATCCTATATCAAGGCATAAATACAACAGACCTTGTTTTCCACACAGATTCCTGTTTCTTTCACACCCAAGCATATGCTAAGAGCTCTCAGGCGACACTCTTCCTCCATTTCTGGGAGGTGTCTTGAAACATTTTTAGCTTACCAAACACAAGACAGAGAAGGATCTCTTTCTTTGTGCAGAGAGAATCTTCTTCAACTGCTTATTTATATTGCAGATGGAAACCTATAGATTGCAATAAACAAATTTTCCTTCTAAAACTGGCATCTGTGCTGCCGTAGTTAAAAGGTGCAACAATTGTGTTTGAAAAACAATCATCTAGGAAATTCTGTTTTGCTTTGTAATGTTCAAATAAAGTGCTCATTGGAATCAGATGGTGAGTAACACGAACAGAGAAATAACATCAGCCTACTAAACTAATGGGACCACATGTAGAGAAAATACCAAAAAAATGGAGTAGCTAGTGAGATCTTATGACATATAAGCAAAAGACCAATCCCTTTTGTTAAACCCAAAATGATATGATTCATTAAAAATCTAGTACTATATTGTGTAAGACAGCAGCAACTAATTATGCATGGCATATAAATTAATTAAAATTAAATAGAAATTGACTACTTCAGTTGCACTAGCCACATTTTAGAAGCTCAATAGTCTCATGTGGCTAGTTGTTGCCATATTAGACAGCACAGATGGAAGAAATTTCCATCTCTGCAGAAAATTGTACTGGACACTGCTGGCCTAAGATGGTTCTGTTTGACTACTGGGTTAGCATCATGTTAAAACATCAGGTCCTGAGGAAATCATCAGAAGCACAGTATGCCTGTCAAATGTAACCATCCATGGCAGGAAAAACAAGGTTGAAAAAGAAAAAAAAAATCCACTCCTAGAATGAGCTTCTATGGTTCAGTATTGGCATTTATATTACAAGAAAAAGATAAGCAGAAAAATTTTGAGCTTAAAGTATAAAGGAATTTATAAACATTGCTACTTGAATACCACACTCCTCCTTCCTAAACATTCATAAAACACACCAGCTTCTCTTCATCTGCTAGAGGCTGATTGGATTTTATTGTTCATCTCTCAGGGATTCTTCATCCTTTGCTCACTTCCTGCCTCCAAAGTTCTGTTGAAACATCTTTGAACTTCTGAATTAATAGAACCCCAATTAAAAATAGGAAAGTGCAGACTCTTCCCATTTTACAAAAAAAGGCAAGAACTTTATTTTAAACAAGTCCTCAGTTGTATATTACACCATGTCCATATCTAAATCAAAAATGATAATGATAATTCAAAGGAAACAGTGGGCTTCTTCAAAGCACGTTATCCAAATATTACTCTTGGCCAATGCTTTAACCAAATACACAGTGGATGTGAAAGGTACAGTATGGCACTTAAATAAATAAGAGCAAAGAGAAAGAAACATATTCACAGTCCAAAGCAATAGGTTTCAGAACCTTTGGTATATGTCTCAAATAAGCATCCGTAAACACGTGTTAGCCAATAGTGTTTAGTTTCAGGTATTTTAGGCCGAGGGATTGTGTAGGTGTGTGTGTTTCAAAAATAAGTGATAAAATAATAAGTTGGGATTGACACGGGCTGATTAAGGTCTCTGGTGTGAGCACACAGGTAAATTCAAACCATGGCAAAATGATGTGCATCTGCATTGCACAACAAAACTATGTAAGAAAATGGGTAAGATACACTAGTTAGAAATTATGTGGCTTGGGTAGACACCGTCAATATTAACAACAACAAATACTTTTACTGCTACCTAAAGTCCACAAGCTGGAAGGCAGAAGTATCCCAAAGCTCATAAACACATGCCTTACCGTGCAACAACCATCTCACAAAAGTGTTGTAGTTGCATATTGCAATTCCCACCCGCCCGCCCATCCCCCACCCCTAATAAACAGCACCAGTGCAATTTGAGTTAGAAAATTGGAAATATTGAGACATTCCTAAGGTTTTCTTAATGACTAAGAGCCAATCAGTTGGGCTCTAGTGAAAACCTCTGCCATGGCCAGTTTCCAAAAAAGCACCCCATGTAATTCCCTCTAGCTTGCAGATAAACCATATTAGGTCTAATGTAAGGCCAGGTTCAGAAAAAAAGCTGGCATGCTATCCTGGGTTGAGGAAAAGGGGCATGCTGATGGATAGGGGAGATACATGAAGGATCTTCCAGGATATTTGTCCTGCAGCCCAGGATAAAGGGATATGTTGAGATAGGTCACAAAGTTTAACTCATGCCATTCACCAGAATGGAGCTCAGCAGAGCTAAGTCCTATTCAGTAGCTGTGCAAGTCCACCGTTATCGGGATCAAGAAGGGCCATAGAATGAAAGGTCCCAAAGAAATCCAACTCATCCATTCATCACCCTACCCAAGTGCCTATGTGGAACCAGTGCTAATGATGATGTGATAACGCTTCTGCTTTTTCTCCTCTCCTTTTGATGCAAGATCTTCTGTTAACCAGCTTTATCCTACATCTTACATATGAGGGCAGATATATCCAACCTTGAGCAGTTATCTGTCTTGTGGCAACTTGTAACCCTTTAGCCTTCCTAATACCTGCCCTTTCACACATAGGCAGAGTCACTGGATTGAGTCCTGCCAAAATTGGGAACACTGACCCTGGGCAGGTCCTTGTTACGGATCTCATAGACTGACTTCCTCTTGGCCTGAGCCCCTCGAACAGCCAGCTTGATCTTGCGCCATCCCAGGTGGTTGAGTTCAGCCAGGTTGAGCACAACACAGATGCCACTCACAGCAAACATGAACACTAGAAAGACTGTCTTCTCAGTGGGCCGAGACACATAGCATTCCACTTCCTTGATGCAGGGGTAGCGGTTACACTCATACAACCCTGGGACACTAAAGCCATAGAGAAAGTATTGGCCCACCAGGAACCCAATCTCTAGGGCATTTCGGAACACCACTTGGATAATGTAGAAGCGGGAGATGCCTTCCTGTCTTCGAAGCTTGGATCTTGCTGCAGTGCGCAGCCCTGATGGATGTGGAGTCAACTCCTTAACCTCTAAACAATCTGGCTCCGTCTCCTTGCTGGTGTTCTCTGTGTTCTGCAGCACCCCATTGACAATGGCATTTTGCAACTTCTTATCTTCTCTCTTTCCCCCACCACTGACCCCACCCCCAGTTCCTCCAGGACCCCCCATGGACTCAGGAGGATCTCTGTCCAGGGCTAGGAAGACAGTAGAGTACCGACGTTCTCGCTGCTTGGCAGACTGGTGCACAGAATATGTGATGAAGCAGAGACTGGGGGTGCACACCATTATGATCTGGAAGACCCAGTAACGTATGTGGGAGATGGGGAAGGCGCGGTCATAGCAGGCCTGGTTACAGCCGGGCTGCAGGGTGTTGCACACAAACATGGTCTGCTCATCATCGTACACCGTCTCCCCTACAATGGCCACAATGAGGATCCGGAAGATCACCACCACAGTCAACAGGATCCTGAGCAGGGGAAGAGGGAGGGAGAGAGGTTCTCACGGGCTGCATCACTGACGGGAAACCCCATTCTTCCCTTCCCCGTTCTCATGTTTATCAGTTCTTTCACAGGGGAGCTGTCCATTTCTGCGTGGTACTGAACTAGGAATCTGGGAAAGCTTTTTGTCTTCCTTTTCTCCTGGGTGCTAGCAGGCTGGGGACACTTATTACAATGATCTCAGGCATGCACACCTCTATACACTGGTCATGGTTTATTTGCAAACTTATAGATTTCATTTTTGGAATGTACAGAAACACAAAACACACCTTTAGTCTGCATATGGCAAGTGCACACAGAATACCTGTACAGATAGTGCAGCTTTCAAAGTCTACACACAGGATGTGTATAGAACTACTCTGTGTGTAAATTTAATCTATTCTTAATATAAATATTGAATTTAATGCTTACAGAAACAGGCAGCTAAGAACACATATTCATATATGCACAGACAGAAACATACATAGATATAGACTCACAAAAATGCCAATTGGGTGTGTGGATTCCTGACACTATAAGTTTTCAAAGACAAATAAGTTTAGCTTAATAAATATTTGCTGAAAAAGATCCATCTGCTCTGCAAATCCATCTCTCCATTTGCCCTTCTCTGGCCAAATGCAATCCTGCCTTCTTTGTACATTCTATTTAGGGAACTGGATAGAGATTGGCTCTGACTCTGGAAAGTGGGGGGCAAAGATTGAGCCAAAAACTCCTTTTCTGATGTGGGAACAGTGAACTCCCCCTCCCCCAGTGGTGCCTCACAGGGAAGGGATGGGGAAGCTGCTCAGGAGTAGCAGGAGAAGGGGGGCGTCACTGGGCGTCGGGTAATCCCTCAACTCGGGAGGAATAGAAGCATTGACCCAACACGATGGGGAGGAGGCAGAGGGCGGGCTGGGGACTCGGGAAGGGGGTTGGCCCGGAAGTGAGAAGGTATTCCCGAGGGCCACCGACGGGCTCGCTGAAGGGCCCACTGACGGCTGGCTTGGCGCCCTTACCTCCCGATCATAGTGGAGTGCTGCTGCACCGCGGCTTCCAGCAGCCTCTCCAAGATGGTCCATTCCCCCATCGCTGTGCATCCGGGGGCAGCAGACAAAGACTGGGCAGCACCGGGCACGTTCCCGCTCCTGGCCCCTCCCCGGGCCGCACCTCCCAACTGGGAGCGAATTGCCCCCCGATTAAAGAAGCAAACAAATTTTTTAAAAATCCACGAATTTCCCCTCCCTTTTATTATACTTAAAAGAGGGAAACGGGGAAAGAAATCCACGCGCGTCCGGACCGGTGGGGGCAGCTAGCGCGGTCCAGAGAGCTGGCACGAACCGGCGCCGTCCGGGGATCGCGTTCGGATTCCGCAGTTGCCGGGGAGAGGGGCGGGGCGGTGTTGATTGCGTGAAGGTCCCAGAGCTCCCGCCAGCCAGGCTGGGGTCTCCCGGCGCCGCTCTCCGCCGGAAGGTGGGGGTTGGGGAAGGGTCCCGGCACTAGCCCCAGCGCCTGCCACTTCAGCGGGCACCTGACGCTCCCGCGCTGCTGCCTGCTATGCCCGGGCGGTGCACGCCGAGCTAGCTGCTGAGCTGGGGAATCCGCGGCCGCCGCCTCTAATCCGCCCTTAAGTAGTCTCTGCCTGCGTCACGCCAGGTCGGCGGAGGGGAGCCGAGCGCTGCGTGCTGCTGTCGCTGCGCGCCGGAGCCCGAGGGGTCGGGGACGCGCGCGGGGGGAGAGGGGCGAGAGTCCTGGGGCCTGGCAGGGAGTAGGGCGACTCCGAAAGGAAGAACTGCAGCGCCCCTTGGGGCTTCTTGGGGCGCCCAGGTAACCTCACCTGACCGCCAGCCCCCTGCAGAAGGAGGGGAAGCCCGGAGCAGACGCGTGGGTGAGTGGGGAGGGGCGTGAGTAGGTAGTTTATCTTCTGGGTGCATCCGTCGCCTTTCGCTTTTGCCTTCAGGGAGACAACTGAAATTCCTTTTCTAGATGGAGACACTGGTTGCGGGGGGGGGGGGGGTGCGTTTTAAAATCTCTTGGAGAGGACAGCTTTGCTGAGAGTGAGTCTGTGGTTTTGAGACTCCGTGGATCTGATGCTGGGGTGAGGAAAACAGGATGAGAGTCCATTTAGGCTGAAAAGCAGGTGTGAAGCGGACTGTGAGAATGAGGGTCTGGGTCAAAGCCCGCGCCCAGGCTACTGGTGGGGTGGCCATGGTTAAAAGTCTCACTTCTCCCAGCACAAACCCAGATATTCTGCTGTTTTTATTTTACTAATGGGAGGAGGGGTACTCTTCTGGACAATGTGGTCTATTCTCAATTTAAGGAGACCCAGTATTCCGCTAGCAAAAATATGGCTCACAACCTCACCCACCCCCGACTTTTCTTACCCAGCCTTGGCTTTCTTCCCTCACAAGCAATCCGGGTTTCTGTTTTTAAATTTACATTTTGTTGTCACTTCTGTCTAGAGCAACTACTTTCACTGGAGTTGAAAGAATGACACCAGGCTGCTAATCAGCGCAGAGGTCAGTTTTAGAAGAGAATGTTTCATCTAAATGCCCCATAGTTTAGAGTGTTTCATAGAAATGTACCAAAAGCACAATGGGTAAGTAGTTATCATCCTTTTAAAAATACAACTGTGAAAGGCTTGCTAACTCATCTTAGGCATAGAATGCAGCCTTAATTATCCACAGGGATCATAGCACATATGTGTGTTACATAAGCCACACCATGGTGAGCTTTCAATTCTAAAACAGCCAAGGTGGTTGGGTAGTTGGTGGCCCAGACACAAGGAGGATGCTGGAGGGTAGGGGCTTGAGCCCACTCACAGGGCACTTCCACATAAATGATGTTTAGGGGCTTGAGCCCACTCACAGTGCACTTCACATGAGTGGTGTTTAAAGATATAACCCAAGCTTCAGTGCCATAGGGATCACTGGGTCTTCTCCTAGGGCTGACATCTTTATCCCCAAGGAAGCAGCTTTTCACTGGAAGAGTAAAAGAGTCTCCCCAAGATGGAGAAAGGTATAAGGTGTAAATGGAACATTAGGACAAAGGCAGATATTCCTGTTTCCTTCTGGGTAGGGAGGAGACTCAAGGATGGAGATAAATGGGTATCTTATTCACTTGGCTTATGGAGGGAATAGTGATCCTCCTACTCGCATCTGGTATGTTTTCCTAAATTTCTTTCTTTTTTCCTCGGCCCGGGTGTCTGTATTTGCTCCTTTTCTGGCGGACACTTTTGGAGTTAAGAATCTCAGACAAGAGAATGAGTAAGAAAGTCCCAAAGGAGGGCTGTTTAACATCTTGAAATGTACCATAATAAGCTGACAACTCAGTCTCTGTATTTCTGCTTTTCCAAACCCTGAAAGATAGTAGTCCTGGGCTGGGGATGTGGCTCAAGCGGTAGCGTGCTGGCCTGGCATGCGTTCGGCCCAGGTTCGATCCTCAGCACCACATACAAACAAAGATGTTGTGTCCGCCAAATATTAAAATTCTCTCTCTCTCTCTCCCTCTTTCTTAAAAAAAAAAAAAAGATAGTAGTCCTAAAGACAGATTAGAGAAAATATACTTTAAATATTCTCACAGTGCAACTTTTAAGCACTGGCTATGACTGAATTGTCAGTATTGATTTAATATGTTGAACTATATTTTAATATGCCATGTAGATTCAACATATGAACACACATATATACATCATAGGTGTATAAACACACAAAAACACCTGTACATAGAACCTGCAGTTTGACTTATCTATTTGACTAGGTAGCCAGTTTTTAAGATAAAAACCCTTTTTCTAAACACCATACTTTCAAAACTGTTAACTACTTTCATTTTTTTAAAATTGTGCTTCCTTTTTTGAGCCCTGCCAATTCTATTTTCAACTACTAATTTGCCCTGATAGTGCCACATGAAATACAAAATTTTTGTGTAGAGCTCTGAGTTTCCTTAATACACTATTTCATTTCCCTAGATTCTGTTTCAAGTCTCCTCTGAGATTCCCATTTAAATCAGCAAGGAAGTTCTTTCCATAAGCTCCTATTTAGTAACTCATTCTATTATATTAAAGTAATGGCTTTGGATGAAAAACAATAGACTCATAGAATAAACTTCAGTGTGCATTAGAATGTGCACTAGGATGTGTTCATTAAACATACAGAGGCTCCGTTCCCATCTCATGTGTACTAAATTAAACTCTAAGTGATGTTTAAGTAACTGCATTATTAATAAGTTCTCATCACTGGCTCTGATAACAATAAAATTTTGAGAACTTTTACTTCCGTGAATAAGTAAAAGTCACAGCAGGAATGAATCCTAGAAATCAGAAAATTCCATCCTGTTTTCATAGACGTTAACACTCACCCAGAGTTTAGGTGAGTTGCCAAAAGTATCTACAAGTTGCAAAGGAAAAAGCTATGAAGGAAGTGATACTAAGAAGCGATACTAAGAGAAGAAGATCAAGATAATTTAAATGGATGAAGAATGTTACCTTTGAGGACAAAAAAAAAGGGGGGGGGGCGGGAAATTAAAGTGGTTTGGATCATGGGGATATAGCCACCTGCAAGCATTTAAAGGAGAATAATCCCTGGGTTGTTAGCCTTGCAAATCTGTGTCTTACTGAACAGTAATTTCCATTAACAGAGCAGAAAAATATTCTCCACATCTAGGAGGAAAAACTGCAAAGTCATGTAGTGAAGGATGTGGTTGAATATTCTAATTCAGGGGTAGAATATAGTTACTGATGATGATCCCATAGGTATGTGTGTGTGTGTGTGTGTGTGTGTGTGTATTTGCTATATGCTTAAAACTTCATTCTCTTCTTAATCAGGTGAACCTTTGAGCTTTGCAACATCAAATATTTGTAAGTGCAATCTCATAGGAACTTTGTGTGTGTTGCAAGAATGAAGGTTAATCTATTGACCTCTTCTCTACTGGTCCATAAATTCTTGGGGAGCCGAGGACATTCCAGTGTTATGGTGTTTTCCTTTGTGTCTTTAGCATGGAGGAAACCACCATTTGTTGTAGGAGTAGGATAACAATAAAATTTTGGCTCTTCATTCCTCAACCTGGGAGAGCTACATGTTCCCTTTGTAGAAGTGGGTCCTATTCAAACCAGAGGGGAGAAAGGAGCTCTTTTTGCCAAGTAAAAGTCCTTACACACTGGGGACAGCCTGGACCCCTCAGTAGAAGGGTTTTGCTAACTACCAGCCTCTACTGTTCTCACTTCCATTCTTCTCTCCCCCCATTACGGTCCTGATACTAGCTAAACTAACCCAGGGAGTAGTGCTGAGCATGCAAAGCTTAGGCTGCAACATCAGAGAGGTGGCCTTGGAAAGCTGATCACAGCCCTGGCTACCTCTCCCCTGGGAAGCACCAGCATCTGTAGTCTCCTGGGATTTGTGTGGCTGAGAGGGACTGCATTCGATTTGGGATTGGTCTCTGTGTTAAAGTCTCAACATTTCATTCACAAACAGCTAGGATTAACCAAGCTTTATCTTCCCCAGTGGCCTACATACATCTGTTTCCTAATGAAATCATCAAATTGTCTTCTGAAGGGGCAAACCCAACATGTCTTGTGAGACTTAAAAAAACATAAGTGACAATGAAACCTATTCCTCTTTGCTGCAAAGTGATATTTGTTTTTTCTTGTGTGTCTCCCTCTCTATGGTTAAGCCTCAGCTCAAATGTTTAGGGCAATGCTTTTGGTTCTCATAGTTAGACAGAATCTATAGAGAACTATCTCCAAAGGGAATAGCTATCCAGCCTCCCAGTCTGAAGTAGCCCTAAGTATGGTGGCTTGCTTTGTGGTCTAGGATTCTCTAATGCCTGTTTCTTTCAAACCTATTCTACCTTCTCATGGACCCAAATACCAACCTGTGTCTTAACCCCAAGAGATTGTGTATCCAAATATTAGAGAAATCTAAAGTATTCTGCCTTCTAGTCCTTTGAATAAAAGGGTATGTATCCCTTTAAAAAAATCACATGTAAAATTCCCCATTCCCCATCCACCTTGTATACAGAGAATATACCTTTGTGTAGTAATATCTCAGGGATTAACGTAATATGGCATTGTGGCCAAAGCAGATGTGTGAAATCACAGCAAATAAATTAACACTCCATTAAGAATCAAATCAGCCCCGCTGACACATAATCTTTCCCATTTATGTCAAGTTGTGATTCCCATTCACATCGGGAGCATCCCAGGGGGGCTCATTAGACCTGCAGGAAGAGATTTCTTTTAAGTCAGTGCTATTCAAAAGTCATTCAGCTACAGTGCAGAAGAGTCTGCCTGGGGTCTGGGCATCCGCCTCTTCACAGTCTCTTTGTCGCTGTCCAGCCAGAGCCCCAGCCATGCAGGATATAGCTGGGTTTCCTGCTGATGCATTTCCAGTCTGTATAAAAGAGATGAGGAAATTGCAGGGGAAGTGCATGTGGGTAGGACCTGCCCTTGGAGAACTGGGAGAATATATTGAGTGAGTATATTTTAGTTTCCACATGTGCCCCATCTGCCCTTCTTCTTCATCAAAATGTGTGCTGAAAGTCAGAGCCCAATCTTGGATTCTTCCTGGTACTTCATACTAACAGCCAAGATTGTAATGTGGAATTGGTAT